CCATGAGCCTACCGGCGGCAGAACCACTAAGCTAAATCCCTGGCCCCTATGTCTCTTCTTAACAATCAAGATTCTCTGAAGAATTGTGGATCTTCCCATCTCCACTGCAACTAATCTCGCAGAGATCAAAAGTGACCTTGGTTGCTATACCAATTGATGTCATTTAATCTTTCTTTTCTTGATATCTGCAATATTTGACATGATTAAAACTCCTTCTATATTGAAACTGGCTTTTCACCACCACTCAAAGACAGTTTTCCTTTTACCTTACCTTTCTTTCCTGGCAGAATCCCTCTTCCTTACCAACATTCAAAAGATGCCCCTCCAATTCTGATCTGTTCCAGCAAGAACTTGTGACAGCAAAATGTTCTTTTCTACTGGTTGGGGGTATAGACCAATGGTGAAGCACATGCTGAGCATGGGGAAATCCCTGGGTAATCCCCAGAACCACCTTCAATCCCTCCAAAAGAATGTTCTTATGTGTATAGTTACTTCATACATTGTAGAGTGGAGAGAGACTCAGGATTTCCCATAATACTTTTATAGAAAATTTAAAACATTCACAAAAGGATTTTACCAGTTTTATTTCACCTCTTTTCCCAAAATTTTTCTGCCTCCATGTCTCCATAAGTACTTTTAAGTCAACATCTTGTAAATCATCATAATGTTTTATTTATGCAGTGGTACCTCGATACTCATCACTAATTGGTTCTGAGAGGCCCAAGGAGCACCAAAAATGAATAGCAAACAACTTGTTTTGGCTAGAAATGGTAGAAAGGCACAAGGCAAAGAAAACCAGCAAGTTCTAGATTGTGTGTCAAGTACTAAACAAATAAACAAGTATCAGGGCAAAATGTTCATGTCAGAATATGTTGAGTTCCAAATTCAACTTTCAAAGCAGTCAAGTACCAAGTTATGACTGTACATGCTTTAATATGTATTTCTAACAAAATCTTCCATCATCATACCTTTACAAATATTTTTAAATTTCTTAATATTATTTAATACCCAATCTATGGTCAGTTTTTCCTGGGCATTTCCAAAATGCCTTTTACATTTCAATTACCTGAATCAGGTATTTCACATTTGCTTCATTGCTCATATTTCCTGTAAACTCAGTTAATTCTAAATGTTTGATTGTGTTTAGGGCAAACTTGCTTTTGTAAGAATGTTGTATGAGTTATGTTTTTATTTTGTATCTGCTAATACTCCTTTTTTTTTTTTGGTAGTACTATACTAGAGATTAAACACAGGGCCTTTGCACTTAGCTAAGCCCCAGCTCATTTTTTGTTTTTTATTTTGAGACAGTATGTTGCTATATTGCTAAGTAAGCCAGGGTGAGCTTAAATTTTGTGATCCTCCTGGCTCAGCCTCCCAAAGTGCTAGGATTTCAGGCATGAGTCATTAAGCTGGACCCCCCACCATTCTTTAATTTACCTCTGTCTTTATCATAAATATTAGTTCCATTCCTCCCTATTCCCCCAGTACAAAGAAAAAAATTTTTTCAGAGCTGGAGCTACAACCCAGAACTTCACAGACGCTAGAAAAGTGCTCCATCCCTAAGCTATACCCACCACCCCAAAGAGAATCTGAAGAGATCCTGACTGGCTTTCTTTCTTTCTTCTTTTCTTTTATTTAATTCTGCATTTGTACCTGTGATATGGTGCTGACAGGACTCCCTTCTCAAATCTCAAATTCTTCAAGTTTCTCTCTCCCTCTCCCCCCTCCCTCTCTTACACACACACAGACACAGACACAGAGGGCCTTATCTTTTTTTTTTTTTTCAGCTTTAATTGAGTTTATTGGTACATTTTAGGGATACAGTACAGTTACATTCATTGTTGGGATCACCTCTACATGACAAGTCTTGATTCTCATTTTTTCCCCTTACCTCTGCCCTCCCTTCACCCCCTCCTCCCCTCCCCATCTACAAACACTTTATTTTCATCTTTTCATTCTCTCACATTTTTTTCTTTTCCCTTTTTACTCTTCCCCTACTCATCCCACCTTCCCTACACCTTTAGCTCCTTTCTTCCCATTTCTAAATGTCAGTAATCTTATTAGAATCTTATGCATTGTTGCAGATTATTCACACCAGGGAAACTATTCGGTATTTACACGTGTGACTTATTTATTTCACTTAGGAGTATATCTTCAATATGTATCCATTTTCCTATGAAAGAATCTATTTTCTCGTTCAGAGGGCCTTATCTTAACAAGCTTAGTCAATAAAATACCACTAGTAAATACTGCAAAACTTGTTAGTTATTTCAGTTAAAAATTTATCCAAAAGGAAAAAATAGCATTCATTTGTATACAGAAAACAATGAGTTCATGCCTAGAATAATTGCAGGTATTGAGTTTCTGTGGATTTAATTCCCCAACATTTCTCTTTGTCCCTGTCTTGACCCCCAAGGCCTCTGCTGTGGTGGTTCAAACCTCACAGCTTCTCATCTGGGTGCAGTAATTGCCTTCTAATTACTTTCCTTGTCCCCTCAATACACCTAATTCTCTATACTAAGTCTTGGGGTAAGAGACTATTTTATTTAATCCTAACACAAAATACAGAAGAAGCAAACAAAACTAACATTTATAGCAATACTCAAACAGTGTATATAAAGCAATTGCTTTACACCCTTTATCCTCTTAATCTTCCCAATGTCCTTGAAAGAGGGATGATGATGATTCTTATCACAGAAAAAGAAAGCTCAGAGAAATTAAGTAACTGTGCAACATCACATAGCCAGTAAATGAAAATTTAAAAGTCTAAATTGTAAGCCCCTGTTTTTTTCACTGCCTTCAAGTCTCTTTCCCCAAGCCTTTCCCCCATCCTAGCCTTAGGAAATAAAAATCTTACTACAGATAAAAATCTTACTACAGAGATAAGATCTGCATGCACAAAACATTTAAGTAATAATGTAAAACAACCAGGTGGCAAGTTAGCTCTGGTTCCACTGCCTGCCTCACAATTGCAAGGTCCAGAGTTCAATCCCCAGTACCAAAAAATGATAATGTAAAACAACCTATGGATAA